ACTCTCTACGTCTAACATGATATGTAGTATGCCACTCTGGAGCACCACAACGCTCCACTTTTTACCTTCAAGTCATAATTGTAATGCTATCATTCTACATCCAATGATGTTGTAGTGCACAAGTGTATAATGTTGCAATGCTCTACTATACAATTATATGGAATCTTATGGATGTATAGAAAAAAATTGGGGGAAAGGCCCCAAAACCCCAAGCAAAGAGAGGCCTTCCAATGGGTTCAATTGGCAAAATTGAGGTTTAAGCTAACAATTTAATTAAAGGTATCAAAATTGGGTTGTTGGGTTCAATTGGCAAAATTGAGGTTTAAGCTAACAATCTCAGTAGACTTACGGATTTGAAGTGTCAGGGTTGACCCAAACCTCGCAGGATGACATGAAAGTTCGTAAAGATTGTCAAACCTTATATAACTAACCTGAGGCTCATGAGGAGTATAGGGGTTAAATTGGTGTTTTTTTAAATTCATAACTTCAAAATAGCAATAATAATATTTTTTTAAAAAAATCAATAATTGAAAATACAAAATTTTAATTGATTGTGGAAGCAAGAGATTTTATCAAAAATATTAAATTTTATTATGATCAAGTTTTAAACTATGTGATGGAATAATAATCAGCATTTTTCTCGAGTTAATAATGAAAATGAAATGCGGAAAAAAGTAAAAGTGTGAAATGGAAAAAATGCACCAAATTTTTATAGTGGTTTAGACAACCTTAGCCTACGTCCACTCTTTAGGGTCCTTCACTATGAGTATTGCACTAACATTAAGTGACTCTCTTTTTGCTCCCTCAGTAAGACAAAGAAGTCCTTACAAACTCACTTTCACCAAACCTTTGATGCGGCGGAGTGTTGGATGCTATGTCACCCTCCCAATGATGGTCGCAGACTTTGACTCATTTTTCTCCCACTTTGAAAAGACAAAACATCATATCCTTTTTCTCCCTCTTAGATAAGGAAGAGAACCTCGAGGACTGGACTAAGAAGCCTCTCTCCCTAGAGAGATTCCATAAGACTCACCAAGGCAACCGAAGGAGCAAGGGTGGAGCTAGCCTGGAAAAATCGTGTGATCCCCTCATACTACTTCTCCCTCCTATTCAAGCTAATCTTCTCCATCCTCTCTCAAATGCTGATTTTCTTCTCAAAAGATCCTCTCTCAGAGTTCCTCTTCAATCACATGTTCCTCTCTTAATTTTCAAGAAAATCTTAAAACATATCTTAAGTATTTGGCTTGAAGAAACCCTAAAAATTCAAGTTAGCCATCACTATTTGTATAATACAAGCATGGTTCATACAATACGACTAGTTCAAAACTAGTCCCATCCAGTATAATATAAAAAGGTGTTCAAACAAACTATTTAATTAATTTGAACAAATCGTACCGTATTATCTAGAGATTATCCAGTATGATCTTCTTAATTTCCTCTATTTGTACAAGGTGATTCCTGGAACGACTAAAAATCATCTCTGCTAATTGTCCCATACTGGTATCTTTATACAGTATAGTTAGTTCATTTCATGTAGGTCATCCAGTATGATATGAATATCATATAGTATGTTTAGTTCAAAAAGCATGGTTTTGTTTGGTACGATCATTGGGATGACCAAATTTCTTCTCTACTAATTAATTAGTATGATCAATATCAAAAAATACGATGGCTATTATTTATTAAACAATGATTTGATTGACAAATTATGGTGGAAAATTTTAGCAAGATCTCAAATATTCTTACAGTATGATTCATATCGTACTGTACGATTAGTTCAATAATCAAATTTCAAAATCTTACTTAAATTAATCTAATAGCTAGGGTTTTCAGATTGTAATGAATCATGCATTACAATTCAGATCGTATAATATGATTAGTTCACAAAAACTAATTGTTTAACTAGTCATTAAGCCTATTTTTAGATAATCAAATTGTATAATATAATGAGTATGATGATAAGTCATATTGTACGATTAGTTCAAAAAAATCTTAACTTTAAAAATATTTTTCCCTCCCCTTGTGTTGTGTGCATAGTCACCCACTTTGTATTTTATGTGGCCAGACTCAAGAAGTAGAAAGTAAAAAAAATATAAAATTACAAACACTTTTACATCGTATTCTACCCAATCTTGAGCCTTCGGCAATCTTGAGTGGTTTATATCTTATCAAAATTTTAGTGCTCACAGAAAAAATAAATATCTAAAATATTTAAAGAAAAAAATAAAAATTCAAATAATAAAATTTATCATCATCAAAATCATATACTAGGGATCCTGGATTGCAATACGATGGTGCCAGAAAAAACAAAATGTTGTCAGCCTAGGATTTAGTATACTCCATAGGAAGGAATGTTGTTGGTGCTGACTGGACGGCGGTCAGCAGGGCCATATGGACGGTGGGAGAGGTAGACGATGAGGCCATCACTGAGGATGATTGGCATGGGAGAGGCAAAATGAGGCATTTTTATTTCATCTCATCATCAAAATTTCGGGTAGGTTCGAATCATAATCATGTTTGCAGGTCAACCCAAATCCGGCATAATTTTTAAAATGGGTCAGTTTGTTGAACCTGAGCCTGGCCCATTTTAAAAATGCATTGACACTAACCTAGAATTTTTGAATTGGGTTCAAGTCAGGTTTTAAGATTGTGTCAAATATTGACACCCCTAAATGCAACCAGAATAAGTGATACAATTAAATACCTATTAACATTGTGATCATCTTTTTTCTAAAAACCTTATATAATCATGCAGGCATTTTTTACTATTGCAAATTGATTGCAATGAATATACTCATAACAGTTCTTAGATCAGTAAAATGATAGCAAACATGAAAATCACAATTGAAATCACAACAAAGAAACTACATGAACATAGAAGGATATATGCTTTAAATGTATAGGATGAAAAGCCCTATAACATGTAGAAAATGAAATATTTTATTTAGTTGAGCCTCTCTCGTAAATATTCAATTATAATTGATAGCTTTTACCTTGTTTGGTTTATATGGGATCTAGTTAATAATTAAAATATTTTAAAAATCCATGGTATGACTTAGACCTCATGAGAAATATAAGTTGTTAAATATTTTGAGATGGACTTTCTGTGCATATTAATGTATTAATAAGGATGTTTGTCACACAAACTTAATTTTGATGAATGTAATGCAAAATATTAGATATATATTAATCTCTAATAAATGTAATTTGGAGGATTCCATCAATAGATTAGGTCAACAAATTAATGTACATTATATATATATATATATATATAATCTTGGATGTATTGTATAATTATTGATTTAGAGATTTTTGGGTGTTTCAATAGAGATATATGGTGCTAGGAGACTTGAGTTGTCCAAAAAATCAATGTTCTATTAGGCTTTATATTTCGGATAGAAGGTTATGTTTGAATTCTAGTTGACCAAATTATTAGAGATTGAGAATCCTTATATCATATTAGTAATGACCTCATTGTTAAGTAATTGGTTGAGGAGACTACTTAGGACATTATAATTAAATAAGAATAACCCAAATTGTGAATCTATGTGGGGACTTAATATATTACAAGAACACGACCCATTGCATTAGACTAATGCAAGTGCCTTTAAGCTAGCAGTTAGTGTTAGGCTTGTGTGAAATACCTTGGACGGCTATCATTAACAACTATCAAACCCATCAAACTAAATCACATTTGCTTTAAGGGTATAATTACACAAACAAAATCAATGTTAAGCCTGAAATTTAGGCCCATAAACTAAACAACATCAACACAAAGCTAAGGAGTCAATTATACTAAATAAATTAAATGCATAAAAAGATACTAAATCCTCCTACTTAAAATAGGCAAGCTCCAAATTAATTCTATAAATCTCATCATTTCAAATTCAAAATAGACCTTCATATGAGATGAAAGATCCATATTAATTCGTTCCAATCAAATCAATTATACTCATAAAATCCTTTCAACTTCTCCAAATAATTCAAAATGAAATATATATATATAAAAAAAACAAACAAACAAACTTATAGATTAACTCAAATGGGCAAATGCAATTTAATAATCCACAAATTAGTTTACTTAGGAAGGCATAGAACTCTTATAGTAAACCCAATTCCACCCTACACTTGGGGCACTTCTTTGAATTACTTTTGATCCTCACTCAAAACTTGAGCTTAACCTAAGGCTTAAGGCAACTATTCGATATAACATAAAGACTTCTATCATATTATTTAGCTGAAATGAACAAAAAATTATTCTATGATCTCTTCAATAAATAGTAAATTATGAACCAGAAAATTGTGCGTGTAACCCCCAATAAATTAGTGGAGTAACCAAAAAATTACAAAATTACCATTTCAGTTTATCTTATTCACTCATTATATGTGTGTGTGTGAACATCCTTTAAACTTTGATTTTATACGTACTTTAAATGATCATATGATTGTGATATTAAAAATTTGATAACACCTAACAAATTTAGAAACTTGCTCAATAATGCTATGATTTGAATCCCTCGCATTATGCTCAAGAGATAAAGAGGCCAATTTCAAAATCAAAGCATTGTTAAAGGTGTGCTTCAATGATAAAAAAACCATTAATCGTGTCTTGCAAGCATTAGGATATTGATAGATTCTTCCTATAAACAAAAACGACATTACTCAAGGACAATCAGCTTGTTCAATCATCACCCCATAGATGAGCCAGCAGAACAATAGCCTTTCAACCAACTAACCCTAATTCGTTAACGAAACTCTACTCGGGCCTTCTCAACTCGCCCTATCCCTATCCAGCTCCACAATTAGTTTAGGCCCATTTAGTCTCTGATTCCAACTAACCGCATACGACCGGTAAACCCACGCGGCAGTCCCTCCACCTAGTCCTCCACCAAACGGTCTATGTCAACGTGGCATAGATCGGACCGTCAGCCTGACCTACCAAATTTTTATTAAAACCGGCTTAAGATTTCCTCACCCGCTTCCCCAGCTTCAGTTCCATTAAATAGCTGCCCACGCTCTTGGCCATCCTCACTGCCTAAAAGTTCTCTTTGCTGCCTAGTTTGCGAGCGAGGAAATAGGGAGGGAGTTACTTAATGGCGCCCCCGGCAATGGAAGAGATCAGGAGAGCTCAGAGGGCGGAGGGGCCGGCGACGGTGCTCGCCATCGGAACCTCCACGCCGCCGAACGCTTTGTATCAGGCGGACTATCCGGATTACTACTTCAGGATCACCAAGAGCGAGCATCTCACTGAGCTCAAGGAGAAGTTCAAACGAATGTGTAAGCCAAGCTTATTTTTGTTTCATTTTTTTTTTTTTCAATATAATCTTCAAAACAAAATAATAATAATTTTCATCGGGTTAATCAATCAAATTTTGTATTGTGTTCATTTTAGAGTTTCTGCGGTGAATTTGGTAGCTATTATGATGAAAAAATTTATATGAGAATATATTGATAAAGCTAGTCATGAAATTATTAAATTTATTTTAAGGAGATTTAAAAAGATAATAAATATACATGTAGCTGTTGGAGTAGCTTCAATGAAAGATAAATTTAGAGAGAGTAGTCATAGATGATTTAGTCATATAAAAATGTTGATTTACCATATAAGATGAATACATATATTAGGTCCAATCTATATTCAAGGGCGGAACCTTTGTGTTCCCATGGGGGGCAATTGCCCGCCCTAAAAAAATTACAAATTTGTTTATTGCATGTATTTTTATATAATTTGTCCTCATCCATCTTTTTTTACTCTTTATTATAGGAATTATTTTAGGTGATTGCCCCCCCCCCCCCCCCCCCCCCCCCCCCCCCTAAAAAATTAAAATAATATGATCTTTAGGTTATTGCCCCCCCGTAAAAATTAAAATAATATGATCTTTAGGTGATTGCCCATAGTAAAAATTGATACACAATGTGTAGATGTGTTATGTTAGAGAACGATGAATAACAAAATACAAAGAGAAATAATAAAGAAAATCAAAAATATCCTTACAGCAAAATTTATTCCGGGGCAGCACAAAGAGAAAGAAATTAAAGAAAATTTCCAAAATATCCTTACATGGCCAAATTTGTTCCAGGGGCGCTGCCCCGGAACCCCCACAGGGGCACTGCTGGACACATGGTGAGAGGTTTACCTAATGTTTTGTTTAGAAATATATTATCATTATATAAGATGTTGATGATATTTTTAAAATATATCAACGTACAAATAATCATTAGTCACTAAAATAAATATATATATATAATTATACATTTTACTTATAATTGCCCCCCTGAAAATTAAGCTGGTTCGCCCCTGTCTATATTAAAAAGATAGAGTAGATATAATAAAGAATTTTGATTATAATATTAAAAATGATTTTTTATTGAATTTAAATTGAGGATTTAATTTTAATAATACAATTTACTTAGCCGACCCTAGCTACGTACATAGTGGGATACGGTTTTGTTGTTGAGATATGCAATAATTAGATAATTGCACGAATCTCAAGGCTTAATTAATGAATTTGAAACTATTTATATAAAAAAATTGGTAAGTTTATTCAAAACAAATTTTTACAGCAAAGAAAAAATTATTTATATATAATATTTTGTTAAAATTGATCAAAGTTGAATTTTAAAATTAATAATTTATATTTTGTAATAAAATAAATATACTATAAATAATAAAGATGATATTAATTTTGCCTTAAAATAAATGAATTTTCAATTTATGGTAACTAAAAATTTAATTATTCATTTTTTTTTCCGACCAAAAGGCCAAATTTTGTATTGTTCTGGCGTCTGGGGCAAAAATATTCAAAATTGTTCCAAAAGAAAAAAAATAAAAAAAATTCTGCTTAGTGCTTATTATCCAAATTTTAACAAATAGTCATTTTTGGTAGAAAGAAATCTGACTATCTTCGAGAGTGAAGCAAAAATATGACCGTAAATATTAATCATATATATAATAGCAAAGAAATTTTTTCTAAAATCTAGGCCAATTACATTTGATGAAGTTGGACAAAATAATTAAAATTTATTTTTTTAAGAAAAAAAATTTTTTGGTAATCAATTGTTTTTATTTTTCTAAGAAAAGATTGAGCTTTTCTTAGTTCCACCCTGATGGCTAATTCTTGAGAAATTTATACAAGCAGTGTTTTCGGTTGAGAGTTTATGTATAAATGTAATCTTGAGTAATCTGTATCGTATTGACTGTATTGAAAAATGTAGCATGTGATGGTGTAGTCCATATATATATATATATATATATATATATATATATCCCAAATAAAAAACTAGAAGAAAAATACTTAAAATTTCATAAGCTTAGATCTGAAAACTATTAAATAATATAACTTTTATATATTATAATATCTTAAAAAAAAGTTGTGCTTATACTATTTCTTAACACTCTGTAACTGTCATCTCTTTGATTAAAAATAACAAAAAAAAAAAATTCAGGTGATAAATCGATGATCAGAAAGCGCTACATGTACTTGACAGAAGAAATACTGAAGGAAAATCCAAACATATGCGCATTCATGGCGCCATCACTAGACGCTAGACAAGACATAGTGGTCACCGAAGTCCCAAAACTCGCCAAAGAGGCCTCCGCCCGCGCCATAAAGGAATGGGGACAGCCCAAATCTCGCATCACTCATCTAATCTTCTGCACCACCAGCGGCGTAGACATGCCCGGTGCCGACTACCAACTCACTCGCCTCCTCGGCCTCCGCCCATCCGTTAATCGAATCATGCTTTACCAACAAGGTTGCTTTGCCGGCGGCACCGTCCTTCGCCTTGCCAAAGACCTCGCCGAGAACAACGCCGGCGCGCGGGTTCTCGTCGTTTGTTCAGAAATCACAGCTGTTACGTTCCGCGGCCCGTCGGAATCCCATCTCGATTCTCTCGTCGGGCAGGCTTTGTTCGGCGATGGGGCTGCAGCTATTATAGTTGGATCTGACCCTGACTTGACTACTGAACGACCGCTTTTCCAACTTGTGTCGGCTTCTCAGACCATTCTGCCGGAGTCCGAGGGCGCCATTGATGGCCATCTACGCGAGATGGGACTAACCTTCCACCTACTGAAAGACGTCCCAGGCTTGATCTCTAAAAACATTCAAAAGAGTCTCGTGGAGGCATTCAAGCCGCTTGGTATTCACGACTGGAATTCGATCTTCTGGATTGCGCATCCGGGCGGTCCGGCGATACTCGACCAAGTTGAAATTAAGCTTGGGCTAAAGGAAGAGAAGCTTGCGTCGAGCAGAAACGTGCTTGCGGAGTATGGCAATATGTCCAGCGCGTGTGTGCTTTTCATACTTGATGAAATGAGACGGAGGTCGGCGGAGGCGGGGCAGGCTACCACCGGCGAGGGGTTGGAGTGGGGAGTACTGTTCGGATTTGGCCCGGGGCTTACGGTAGAAACTGTTGTGCTACGCAGCGTTCCGATTGCTGGTGCGGTGTGATGGATCCATGACCATGTTAAGATTAGTAGAGTTTGATCTTTTGCACTGTTTTTTTTTTAGTAATTATTATTATTATTATTATTATTGGCTAGTAAAGTTTCTGGTTTATCTAAATGGGTAGTGCTGGATTGGGTGGAACTATAAAGGGTGGTGGGGAAAGGAATGCCGATCAATTTGTTATAAACGTTAATACTGTTTCTTTTATGTTATATATATGTGGCCATGGTTCTATTTTTATAATAAAGAAGTCTTATGAATCTTTTTTGCTGTTAGCCTAGATTTTTTGAAAAGAAGAAAAAAAATTTTAAAAAAAATTATAATATAAATTTTATAAAAAATATATATTAAAATATTAGATAAAAAAATGTTAAATCTAATAATGAATTTTAAGATAGATTTTATTAAACATTTAATATTATACATAAAAAAAATAATTGTAAGGTGTGGTTTAAGACTAAAATAAAATAATCTAATAATGCAATTTTGAGACAGTTTGTAAGTTAATTAAAAGGAGTTTAATGTGAGAATTAGATGACAAAAAGGTATAATTATAAATATTGATTGTGAAGTTGTGGAAAAAATAATATTAGAATATATAATTTTAAGTATTAAAAAAATAAATTTTTTTTAAATTTATTTTTTTGAATTAATGAGAAAATAATATTCAAACAAAAATAGATAATATGAATATTGGAAATAATAGTAAAAAAAGACTGTCCCAAAAATTAAACTAAATAATTCAAATACAAGTACAAAAAAATTTTAGAGCTAAATTAATATAATTTTTAAATGAGAGGAGAAGAATTTGGTTTATTTAAACTTTTTATTAAATATTAGTAATAATAATAATAATAAATTAAATATATAAAGGCAATGTAAAAAATATTTAATAAAGAATATCAAAAAGATAACTCTAAATAGCATATGGATAATTAATATATAAATATAATAATAATAAAATTATATAATATATAAATAATAAATAATAATAATAAATATAATATATAAATAAATAATAAATATAAAATATATTAATATATATAAATATAATAATATATGTTAAATAATAAAAAGTGTGACTTGTTGAAAAACACTCCCAATGAACAATTACTGAATCCTAGAAACCTATAGACTTAAAGAAGTCTCTCAAGAAGAACAAACTCATAATTGATCTTTACATTTGGAAAAATGTTAAATTATCATCTGTTAGCGTCTAGGAGTATTTAACTTGCGGCGGTAAGAAAAGAAATATAAATTATATAACGCTTAAAGCGTTATAAAAGAAAAATCCGGCAACGCAATCAGAATAGTAGAGAGGGTCTAACATTTATGAGACAAACACAAAGATTTTTACTATGGAAACCAACATGAAGGGGAAAAACACAGGGGCTAGCCACAGTTTGAAATGAAATCCACTAGTATTAAAAGCAGTAGAATTACAAATGAGAGTACCTTCGCTTTGTGGAAGGTCATTAAGCTTGCAATGAAATAACATCTTATGGAGTACAAGCTACAATGATGTAAAAAATAACAAAGAATCACTAAAAATTGAACAAATGTTTTGCTTTGGATCAGGGAGGACCAAGTAGAATACGGCGGGTGACAAGGAGAGTACGAAAGCAATAGAATAGTACGTGAAAGACGAAAGTAAGAATAGTAGGAAACCTAATAGTCGGAAACAAGGACGAGGAATGAGTCGGAAAGGAATGGCAAGATTACAGGTCAGGCAACAAGTAAGAATCAGAAAAAAAAAAGAACGTAGTCAGGTTGGCGACAAAGGATCGGAAGAGACTAGTATATAAAAACGGATGGGCGACATAAGTCAAGAGAACCAAATAAAGTCGGACTGGCGACGGAGGTCAGCAAGAACTGTTGTCTTGAACGACAAGAAGACTAGGAAGGAACGACGTAAGAAAAAAGTAAGAAGTCCAATAATGGAGAGGAACTCCATCTTCGGTAGAAAGTAAACAGACGTAGTAACGGATAACCGGTAGAAAGTCGGCAGTCAGAGAGAAATAGAAAATGGCGAAGAGATGAATGTAGCGAAACGAGAGCAGGGATAAGAATACAAGTCTAGTTAGGTGGCAGAGGAGAAAACCGGCAAATCAACTATGGGCGGAGTTATAAGCGTCAATGAGGGAACTCTATTAACATTATATGAAAGAGAAAATATAACTACATCCCGTGAAGTTGGAGAAGAATATACTGAAGACATTATTCCCAATATCCGGCAGAGTTCCGGTGTCTTCAGGCGGGCAGGAGAGCTCCGACAGTGGTACGAGGAGAAGATGAGGATTCTTCCTTTATAAATCCTTTTCATCCTCTTCTTACTTCTTCTCATCTTCACATTGAGTCAACTTAGAGATGTAGAAAAATGAGGGCTACTATTTAATAGTTTTAATTTATAGAGAGTGGCAATAATCCAGTATAAGGCAAATAAAAAAGAGATCAAGAGAAGAGCGAATTGAGGAGTGTTTTGAATCGACGGCCAGAATAATTAGATCATATATATGATCATATAGCACAATTCCGTATGGAGAACATTAATTGAAGAGTTTAATGCATGTCGGAATTCGAATAGAAAAAAAAACTAAAAAAAGGCTCAGTATGGATTGCGTACAATCGATATGAGAAAAAAAAGAAAAAACGTTGAATTACGAGTAAATAAAAAGCTCCAAAAAAAAAATAATAAAAAGAATCAAACGGATACAGTTTGGTAACTCAAATTGCAGTTTGAACCTTCAATAAGACAGCTTATGAAGCCCTTGATATAATGGGACTTATTTGGGCTCAGGATTGGGTTGAATTTTGGAATGTCGTTGGAAATCGTATTATCCGAGACGCTCAGTTTGATAATATAAAGAAAATACACTGAAAATCAGAAGTTCAAGAGTGCATTCCAAATTTAATTATTATGAAGTTTTCCCCAACTAACTTTTGCCATCGAGATTAACGATAGCTGATCAAAAGTTAATCTTATGTGATGAAGTATCAATCTAACTTTCGTTATTTATTTTTAATATTGTTTATCATAATACTTACCTATAAATACCACGAAGAATAATAAACGAAAAAAAATGGTGCAATTAAGTGATAATACATACAACATTAATCATCATGCTTCAAAAGACAAATGATCCGACTATATTCATCTCATAACATTCGACAGTAAACAATAGCGCGTGAAGTTTAACTTTTCCACCTTCGATTTATTATACGCACAATCTTCAAATACTCACTCACATCAATTGAAATAAATTCGATAATCTTCAATATTACTCACTCCCAGGAGGCGAAACCAGCTTCAAATTTGTAAGAAGTACAAATAACAACACAAAAAATAATTAAATATTAAAAATAAATAATATTATATATCTATATATTCAAAAATAATTATTAATTAAAAAAAATTAGACAAAGAAAAATTAAAGAAAAAAAAATGTAATTAACTATCATGATAAGCATGAAGAAATATTAGAACTAAAGTGGAAAAATATTAGAATATTAATTAGGGCAAGTTTAAAATAAAAGAAGTTTTTTATGGGGGCAAAAAATATATCTCATCCAATAGATTTTTTTAATATTTACTACTATAAAAAAAAAATTTAAGAGGTACAAACCCACAAAAAGCAACAATGCTGAAATTCCGTCCAGCAATCTCAAACCAATCGTGCTTGAAAGGGCGAAAATTATAAAAAGATCCGGAACATATCAAAAATACAACGACGCAGCAACGATCTGGATTGGTGGTCCAAAGACAAATCACAGAAATACGGCATATAAATTTTCCACTTGAAAGAGATAATCTAAAGAATTTTTTTTTTTTTATTTCTTCAAAAAGCCTTCTCCAGACGACAGCCATCCTCTTTACTTTACCCTTTTTCTAGCTGCTGTAGCATCGGGCTAAACATGAGCTCTACTGCTCTCTGTGTAGTAGATTTAAATATATACTAGTTGGACATTCATAAAAAATATAACAAAAAAAAAAAAAAAGCATTTCACAATACAAGTAAAGCAACAGTTTTAAAGGGATTACGCATAAAAAAGAGAAGCTATTGGACTTACTTAACTATCTGGATATCTATACTATTAAATCTACAAAAATAAAGCGATAATATTTTAAGAAAAACCTCAGACCCTATAAGAGTTAAAGCTAATAATAAAGTATCAATCAATAATCGAACAAACTAATATAGATACATAATTTTGTAGTATAGCCAATACTCATAATTGTCTTAGATTTTACATCCTTCAAAGGACAAACACAGCCTCGCATTCCTGATGGAATTTCAAGGATGTTAAAATTAATTATATATTTTTTTTTGTACAGATTGTTGGAGCTACAGAAAATAAGCGAGCGATAGAGGTTTTAATAATCTGCGTCTTAAGCGTTGAAAACGGATATAAACAAGCTCAATACACTAAAACAAGAAAAGAAACAAAGAATTTTTATAACGTGAAACCATTAGAGGGAAAAAAAGGGGCAAAAAAAATAAAGCCACAATATGAAAAATGAATATACCACTTAAAAGAAACTTTGGAGTACGGATTACAAAATGGTTGAAATCACACAATCCTGTAGGGGTGTTCAGATTTAACAAAACTGGTTACTATCAAAAAAGGAGTCGGAAGTGTTAGAAACAACAAAGTATCCGCTATGGAAAAATACGGAATGTCAAAGATAAGTAAACCGAGAAAGCGTAGAGACTGGGCGATAGGGGTCAATGAATGTCGGAAGACTTGAGTGAACGTACCGGGTCTTCAAGAGGAAGATCGGCCATAAACAGGACGATGGAGTCTTCAGCAGGACAGTACGGGACCTTAGCAGAAACGTAACGGGAACCATTTCAGCAGGAGTCAGGGCTTCAAGCGGAAGTAAAACGGGCCTTCAGAAGGACGCCAGGAGAAATACCTTCAGCAGGACGAATCGGGACCTTAGGAACAAAGAGAACATCACAGCGATCTATCAAAAGCAAAAGAAAGAAAAACGTTGGAGATATTCAAGAACAGTGTGACAACGAAACTAAACAGGCGAAGACTTCGTAAAAAAGGTAAGGTAACAGACGAAGTTCCTAGGGGTGAATATGATGCGGAGGCCCGGAACGAGACTCCTGCGGTATGGATACCAGAGAAAACGGTGGCCCCGGCGAAACCTAAGCGGTCGGTCCGGACGGATCGTCAGAAGAGAGACTCCCTACCTCATTCCTTAAACACTTCCTCTTCTCTTACTCCTTCTCTTGCCTGGATCCCTCCATCAAGAAGAAATG